TGTTTGCGAGATCATGTTTGGGGATTTTCCCCACATTTTCAAAAAGTAGGCCTAGGCCGAATACTAGGTGGGTGTCTTTGGAATAATTTACCATTTAATTTGAGAATCATAACATCCTTAGAGACCTTTAAATCCAAGCTGAAATCTTATCGTTTTGTTAAACAATACCTGTACTTGGCACTATGACACTCATCCGAACTTTCTCGTCCAAACCTTCTCATTCTTTCTATTTTTCTTGTGCGCCTCGGGATAGCATTGTCTAGACAGACGGCGCTATACAAATGCCTATTATTATTGTTATTATTCCCTGTTATTTTGAACTCTCATGATCTTTCTTTCCTCACCCGGGATCGGGCACTCATGCTCACACGATCTAAAGAAGAACAAAACTTTGCAAAAGTACTCTGATCTACATGTATTAAAAAAAAGGATATATACAAAGAGAGAGAGAGAGAGAGAGAGAGAGAGAGAGAGAAAGCAGTTGTCGTTTCCTAGTTTAATGTACAAACACCTGGAAGTTGCTGCCTGGTACGAACGTCATTATTGAGCCTTTGCCGTCGTGGTGTGGCACCTCTTCTGAATTCTGACCTACTGCATGATCAGTCAAGGAGCTGCAGATTCCTCCTAGGTTTGGTAAAGACAAAACTGCTTACCGAAGACGTTCTCAATGACTGGTGTCTCGACCAACATGTGGTCGATTATTCTCATCTTCGTAATCGCGATTATTGCATCACTTGTATAGGGGTGGCTCAAGTTCAACCTTGTGCGTAAGTAACAATGGCTCCCTTCCAGTTTTTATATTATTACAGACATTTATTTATATATATTCTTTTCTCACCATCTCCCATCTGTCCGTCTATTTATAAATATTTGTTTTCACCTTCCTTAGTTATAGTACATTGCATATACAAAGAGTACCCAACTTTGGTAGCTTCTAATTAAAATGTTACAAGCTATGAGAAGTTTTATCAAATTTCATTGTGAAGAAGAACTTATACCATGTAAAATAATACTATTTTCACAAGTATGCTGTCAAGGATGACTGAACAGGAGACTTTTCAAAAAAGTATTGTCAAAATCCTCTTGTACCAAGTTTGGGCTGAAGCAATAAACGTGGGTCAAAAGCTATTATGTGTGTGTAATCGCATTTACAAATTTGCTAATTTATTAACATTGACTATTAGGCACTTGAAAAAAAAGGTGTTAATAATAACTCAAACTCAAGGAATTACTTGATACAAGTAACATTTATGAGATTCTCTTCGTTATGATGAATACAATCTTGAGTTCATTCGAATCCCTTGTTTAAGCAACCTTCTCATTGAGTGATACAAAAATGGATAAAGTTTATTTAGGATGCTTTCTTTTTTCATGAAAGTTTACTGTCAATTTCTTTGATATCTATTATCATTATGTGTTCTTTCTTGCATTTGGGCAAAGTAACCTTTGAAGTTTCATTCGCTATTTGAGATAAACACCTTATGCTCCTTATACCCGTGTGAAATGGTCCAGCGAGAAAGTGAGCAAAGAGAACTTAGATATCATGAGACAAGAATTTATTAGGCTCTTCAAAATAGATTTAAGATCAAAGAAGCACATTCATAATGGCCTGACCCACCCAAACTCGGTACAAGGCGATTTTGACGGCGACACTTTTTAAAGACCCTGGTGCTCATTCATCCATGGCAGAAAGATTATTAATAGGGTATTATCGGACATAAAATAACTTATTCTTAATTATTAAATCAATTTCAAAGTCATATTGGTTAGGACTTTTTAATCAGGAGCTACCAAAATTGGTTACATTTTTTTAAATCAGCAATGTATATTAAAAAAGTATATATATATATATATATATATATATATATATATATAAAAGTATGAATATTTAAAAAGTCGTAAAGACAATACATTGAAATGCATATCCGCAAAGGCTTTTTACTTCTACAAGAAAAGCTCTATTCTTTTGATTTTCATTTCATTTCATTTTCCTCTCGATTTTTTCTTTTTCTGTTATTTCTACCCCCCTCCACACCCTCCCCTCTCCCCTCTCTTCCTCCCCTTCCCCTCCCTACCCTGACTCCCTCTCTCTCTCTCTCTCTCTCTCCCTCTCCCTCTCCCTCTCCCCTCTCTCTCTCTCTCTCTCTTCCTCTCTCATGTTTGCAAACATGATTATGCAGGCGTAGGAATCTCCTCCCCCCCGAAAATAGTAACTTTGAATTTGTGTGTAATCGATAAGCCGAAAATTATATATTCAGAAACTATTTTGTACCTGTGTTTACGTAAAATGCCATATTTCGTGCAAAATGTTGATGTACACTATCGGATGATTTTGTTATGCATAAATATGAAGTGGCACCATCAGCGAAGATTCAGAAGCCTCCCTCTCCCGTTTTACTACGAATCATATCAAAGCATATTACTCTAGCCAAGGTATTAAACAAATAAATGATTAATGTAATGAGAGTATTCTCTCTTTCAATTTTAAACAGATTTTCTCTGTCGATTACAGTGGTTTTGCAGAAAATTCATCTTAGGGTCGATCTGTGCATTAACGTTTCTTATGGGTTTGTTTTTCTTTAAAACATGATAACAGTGAATGTATACCATCCAAAATCAACCAAATGATTTTATTATCATTTTTACATTAACATTTATTTAACGTCACTTACGTGAGGTCTTCGTCTTAATTATTCAAAAGTTTGTTTTTCCATCCACCTTTTATGTCGTTATACATGCGTTATAAATCCGTTAAAACATCACATTTTGTATGTCTTACATCATCGTCGGCACATATTTAAACAAAACAAAACACGCACTGTTCAGTGATCCAATACGTTTTTACATGATGACAGGAAACTACTCTAGACGAAGCAGAAAAACAAGAGCAATAATATAGACTGGTGACAGTTTGAATGAAATTGGATAACAAATATGAGAAAATTGTGAATTTAAAATAGTTGTAATCAATATAGAAATTGGCTATTCCAATTCGGTGAATAGGTAGTGTCTCTGCGATATAGTGGTTGAATTCAGACATTCCTGTTTGTTCCAACAACAACAAATTAATTTTCTCATTAGTGGCCTGGACCAACAATAATTGCTATCCATAATATATTTTGAGTTGTGTCCAAAGGGAGAAGGCACTTCAATGAAATACAAGAAATAAATTATATTTTTGTAAACGACAAACAGAGAGTTTTACCACACTGTCTATTTAATATTCGCATAGACCTAGTGATGCCATATTTCAAACATTCAAAGCTTTCTTATTATTGGACCGATTTATATCAAGCTTCCGCCGTTCTGTTTATCTAATTCTCCTTCTCTTACACAAATGAACTTAAAGGTACTATGTCCCTTTTGCAGGCCCCCCCCCCAAAAAAAACTAAAAATTAAAAGGTTAAATTCCAGCGGCATTTGAAAGATAATACTAATTTAGAACTCCCCTTAAAAAATTGGTTTGAAAATGTCTTTAAGTGGGAAAATAACGACTATTAGTTGTCAAATCGATTTAGGAGCTATAGAGCCAATAAGTAATAGTCTTGATTTTCAGACCATTGTTCCGCATGGTCGTACGTTTTATGCTGCGCAAAGATTCAATCAGTTTAATTTTGGCCATTACACGAAGTGGGTTATTGTAGCAGACAAATCCTTTACAGCTTTTTGTTTGTATGTTATTACCAAAGAAGAAGAAAAAGCCAGTCAGTCACTCAATACTGACAATAGTGTCTGACAGTGAAGTCTATCAAGTAAACGGGTTTCCTTGCATAATTTGAATATAAGGACACGGCTAACGTTTAAATTTTACAGATAGGATATACATGACATATTCATAATTCCTGCAAAGTTCTACAGAATTTGAGGTTGGCTGCAAAAGGCACATAGTATCTTTAAAACAAGGGTCGATTTGCTTTTTAAAAACTTCAAGTTTCTTGACAGAGTTAATTCAAAGAGGAATGTTCACCTTATGCGGCCAAAATGGAAAAATTAAAACTGAGATTTAAAAAAAAAGTCTTTTCAGTTCATGCTTTTGCGAGAATACGGTCTGTTGCTCATTTCCCTGCTCTATTTTTCATTGTCATTTTGGATTGGTATGAAATAGGCAATTTAATTTTTGTTAAGAAATTGCAAGCTCCAATTCAAGAGGACAGATCTCAAGTTTGCCCCATTTTTGTCAATGATTTTCTTCTGATGTCTCCCACTCTCCTTTCTTTCTGAGAGATCAGAAGAAAATCATGGAGAAAAAAAATGGAGCAAACTTGAGATCTGTCCTCTTTAATTGGAGCATGCAATTTCTTAACAAAATCAAATTACCTATTACATATCAAACAGAGGGCGCTGCACTGCGGCGACCTTTTTGTACCTGTAAAAAGTTTCGTTTTTAGCGTTCTTTTTTTTAATACCATTTGTCCTTTTTTGATGATTGTTAAACGTTATGTTAAAATTTATTTTTTGTATGTATGTATACATCTATTTACATGTATGCACTTTCAAATGCCCAATAACAAATTTTATGTATGTTTTACATGACAATAAATTATCTTGAATCTTGAATCTTTCGATCTCTCTGCCCTCTCTCTCTCTCTTTCCCTATCTTTTTCTCTCACTCTCTCTCTCTCTCTCTCTATTTGTATTTGTCTCCATTCTCTCCATTTGTATTTGTCTCCATTCTCTCCATTTGTATTTGTCTCCATTCTCTCTCTGTTTATATTCGTCTCCATTCTCTCTCTCTCTCTCTCTCTCTCTCTCTCTCTCTCTCTCATCTTTACTTTCATAGAGCCATTGTTAATCGCTAATGGTTTTTTGCGCGTGATTTGCAATGCAATTCGTACTTTCGATCTTACATGTGAACCACAACCAACATGACATCAATAGCATGAAACCAAATACAACCCTTCACTTTTACAACAACGATCATGTGATGTTCCAAACTAAAATTATATTCAAACAAAATTAGGTTACAAATTACACGTGACAATGGTTATAAAGAAGTACAGCGGAGAAGAGAAATTGAAAGCATGACCCCGCCACACCAAACAGGCCGACACCAGACCAACGCCGTGACCAAACAGAAAATTACGTAACCCCTAATGACCAAGAATCGGTCGGGTGGGTATCGGTGTGGACTCGGTTTGGCAGTGTGGCAGAGGTTTAAGGCTCGGGTAAAAATGGAGAGTATATCATAAGTTATGCGTATTCATACTTCGTTTGTTCACCGGTCGAGAAGGCAGATAACATTGGTATGATTCGAAGAAAAGCGAGATAGAGAAATACCAATCGTGTTTGCCTTTTGTCAAAGCTAAATTGTTTTCCATCGGGTGGGGATAAGAAGGCCTTGGCTTGACAAATGCTTGATGTTGAATCCACATTATTTGAGATCGGTTTCATTTTGCACGCGACATATAACTCATTTCTCTCTGAGTGTCATTCGTAATTTCTTCTACTTCTTCAAAGCCACCCGAAGTGATTGATCTCCAGTTTCTTCATCTTGACTACATATACATTTGAAGGTGAGTTTGATGATTACGATTAATGTTTCATGAAGTCATTGTTTCGTCAAAATAGTGTATACTGAGATAATGATTCAATGTACATTTACGATCAAAGCAAAAAGTTTAATAGATATCTTAACAAGAATTTTGTTAACACATTTTTCGACTTGCACCCAGTAAAATTAATACAGATCGCGTGCTCACAATTACAGATCTGGCACGCGATTTTTATTTACTGGGTGAGCTATAAAACAATTGAAGTTTCTCCCGGGAAGCATAACAATTACAAAAAAGGGATTTCTTTCTGTACATCGTTTTCAACAACAGGTCATACAAAGGCATAGATTTGTGCAATTTTAAGTATATTCTACCCACTCCATTTAGAACAGTTATCTAAGCAGAGATTTGCTGGTCATCGAAATGATAAAATTGTTTATCGGATCCTCAACTGATTAGTCTCACACGATTCCATATGTCATTCTAAATCATGCATCGTGAAAGTCTGAGTAATCCCAAAGCGAAGACTTTAATATCAAAAATAAAATATGTATCCTGATTGATGGATTTTCTCCATTTGTTAGTACCATACACATGTGTAATTACTAGATTATAAAGGCCTATGATCAGGTCATCGGGACAGATGAGTCTCAGAAATTTAGAGCTACAGAATTTACAAAACGAAAAGTGACAACTGTCGACAGGCTTATTAACAAACTTGAAGAAAACAAAAGCCAAGCAAAAACAAACAAAAACTTAAAAGTGCCCATTAATTCTGTCAAATATCATCCACTTAATCTATCCAAGATTATTCAAGATGGGAATAGAGGCTCAAAAAGATCCTCGTATGAATAAAATTTCTTTCCTCTTTGAATATCATTAATATTATAATTTATTATTATACATGTACAGAGGACAAAGATCTTCTCCAATGTAAATTTTTGTAGGGAATTAGTAATCAGTTTTGAGAATGGATTGCCATGTCTTCGAGCTTTGCATATGTGGAAATATGTTAATGTTACAATGTAAGTACTTTATTTTGAAGATTATTGGTAGTATAATAACTTGTTTCTTATGTTGTAATTAATTTGTAATTGGGAGAAAAAATATGTAATGAAATACATCAACAACAAAAAAGAATAACAATTTCTCGCATATCTATATTAGTTGTTATGACATATTATATGGTAACAACTATATTAAGAAGAAGATAAAAAGATAGCGGTGAATCTCATACCCGCATCTTGTCTCGTACTGTTTTTAATGGTTATGGTTTCTATAATGTTATGTAGTATTGTCCCCAAAGTACATGTACCCTCATATTTGAGATGCACTTAAAAGCCTTCTTTGTATCTTTATAATCCTTCCCCATAGAAAGACCAAGTGCATCAATAATCTCTTTCCAAGGAAATACCACCACTGTTACGTTTAAGCCCACGAAGTAGTCCATTATTTTGGCGGCTCTCATTCATGTCTTTGTCCCTTTGACATAATGTAACCTACCCTCATATTAGTTGTATCCTTCTGGATAAATATTACATGTTCTGGTTTTCTGGGAGAGTTGAGTTTTGATCACCATTAGATCAAGACCCTCTTGCTAGCTGGCTCTCTCTCTTCACCTTGTGTTTTACATATGTGGAAGTTTGTAATGATGTGACTGATTCGATTCTCCCAAGTTTGGAGATAATAAATACTCTTGATAGTGACTCAGGAATTACAAGTCTCTCCTTGCTTCTTCATATTATTTGTGTACCTCTCCTACTGCGAATAACTAAGACACCGATCCCAACACGACAATAACCATCGGTTCTCTTTTCATTATCCGTTGCTACTGGTATGGTGAATTTGTTAAAAATGCAAGGCAAGCTCATATTTACACGCACAGAGAAGAAAGGGAAGATATGGAAGATAATTAAATTATTTTTGCACGATGGCGGTGCCAAGTTATTGAACCCCATTAATAACTGTCCTACGTCCATTGCATTTTTTCTTTCCTTATTTTTCATAACCGATGACCATCTCTTGAAAATGAACATATAGTTCGTTTGAATATGAAAGGGTGTACGTGCAAAATCTTCTGTAATACCTTCGTACTGTTATATGCGACTCAACATAACAAGAGGAAAATGCTGAAAACTGTACTTACAATGCTTGTATACAACGTGATATTATTCTACAGTTCAAATTTCGTTTAATTTGCATTTGTAGATTAGAATTGTTATATAATAAAAAATACATTACACCAACGTTTCTGCCTTTGGTGTCTTAGTCTACATAGTAAAATGATTTTTTGAATTTGTATGTTCCAACAGATCTCCAACGTGACAAAATCTCCAAGCAAGTTAGGTCTTCAAGTGCAGCAAAAAAGGAAAAAAAAAAAAAATTCTCTGCTAAAGTTTTGAACCAGTATAAACTTTCTTCCTTCAACTAAGTAAAGCGTAGAGCTGGCAGTTTTGCGAAACTCTGACGATTCTCCTTTTACGAACTTAAACGAAGCACGTGTTTATCGCAATGGGAAGCGAATCCACAACTGTAAGCAGCGACTTGGCCACTTTAAATGCATCAATGACGGATCCAGAATTAATGAATGAAACGGCAAGCTCTGATTGGCTGTGGACACCAATCACGTGGTCTTGGTGGATAAGCATTCAGCTTGTAGTGGCGTGTCTTGGTCTTGTCGGGAATCTCTTGGTCCTGCTTGTCCTGTTCCATCGCCGGTCATTCAAGAAGCCTACCGATATCCTGATCGGTGGATTAGCCGCAGCAGATTTCATCACTTCGATCTTTATGATCCCTCAACCGAAGTTATCAGGTGCACCTGATACTGTTCTTGGTAATGTCGCGTGTAAGCTGGTATACTCGTCGATATTCCTCTGGATATCTATCAGCTCATCGGTCTTCACCCTGACAGCTATCGCTATTGAACGATATATCGCGGTCCTGCATCCTGTTAAATTCAAGATTTGGGTAACACCGAAACGCCTGGTATATTGGTTTTTGGCAATATGGCTGTTGTCTTTCGCGTTAAACTCTCGCACGTTCGGGACTACGATGGTCGATAGCACTGCAGGAAAATGCGTGGTGAATTATAGCCACTCTGCTATTCAGATCGTTCTAGGAATCTTCGTATTTTTGATCAGGTTCATATTTCCTGCTATCATCATGCTTGTGTGCTACTATCTTATTACTCGCTCACTACGGCAACGGTCCGAACGATTTCAAGCCCAGACTGTCAAGTCAGTCGATTCTCGTCTGGAGCAAAAAAACGCAGGTCCCTCGCAAAGTCTCCTCGCCGCTCGTAGCAAGGTCATCAAGATAATGTTCGTCGTGATCATCACTTTCATCGTCTGTTGGGCAGCGGATAGTACCGGGCTCCTTGCCTACAACTCACATTTGGTTGGTCGATGGTACCTCTACAGCCACTTATACCACGTCTTTGTCATCGTAGCTTTCTTCAACACGTGTGCAAATCCACTCATCTATACCGTCAACTATCCAGAGTTTCGTTTGGCCATCCGGGATCTCTTCTTTGGCTCGCATGGTGTCCGAGGATCGCTGTTTAGTAAGGACACTGAGCAAAGCACCGAGGCCAACGACCACAGTGACAAAGCAGGGAAATATGCCCTTACCAATATTTAACCGTTACCCGACGTACAAACCTACGGTTATACATTTTCGTATGTATCAATAGATATAGCTTATTGGCAGAAGAATCATTGATGTTAAATGTCATAACAAATAAGTCATTGGTTAATTGTATGCACATGCACCAATGGTTAGTTCTGCAAACATTCACTTTGTTCAGACAATTAACATCATTTCCTGTAACATAAAATATATTTGTTTAGAACACATGGCCCCTGGGATTAGAGGGATTTTCATAAAAACGTGATGCGTTTATTAGTACGCTGACCTTGGGACATCATACAGTAGAAAACATACTGCGAGACCGGCAAACGTGTCAAGATTCCTCAGAAAGGTGTAAGGGGTCGAGAAACCGAGATGTCGGTTTCATGGGCCGTCGGTCTCAAGAAAGTAACGAATTCTTCAGAAGGCCCCGATACCGAAATTGTCGGACCCACGCGTTGTGGAATCATTACAAAAAAAAGATTTTTCTAATATAGGCAAGCGTTTTTTAACATGAGCAGACTAAATAGCTGGCCAGACTTGACTGATGTCGATAGCAATAGCGTTTTTTTTTTTTTGAAGTATGAGGTCCACCCTACAATTTTGTATGAAGGATGGGCTTTTGCTGGGAAATCACGTCGTCGTTGACGTTTTCGATTGGCAACTGACCAGGCCTTAAACTTGTTTTATTAATTAGCACAAAACAAGTTGTGTATAAATGCTTTTATATTCCACATACTAAGAATCTTGCTCTACGATTGGTCGAAAGTAAATCACGTGATGAAAGATAGTTCACCCATCATTGCTGGGAGAAGCAAAAAGTTCGTTGCACTGTGTAGATAGTAGTATTATCTACACATCGCAATGTCTGCAACGCACTTTCATTTTATACGCTGCGTATTGCTCTCCTCTTTAAGCACTTTTAGTGTTATAGTACGCGCACTTTGGCCACGCGCAAACTATATGGTCACACCACCGTAGTGCATCCATGCACTGTACGTATCGTACACCGTTTGCTAGCTGTTAATTGATGACTTGTTGCTCTAAAACGACGAAAGAAGTGAAATGTTTCCGATGTGGAATATAAAGCAAATAATCACCTTTTGGTTTCAGGCGATGGCAAACTATCACTTTCTCGCCGATCTGAATGTATACGCTATCTTTCCTCAGCTTCGCTTCGGAAAGATAGCTACATCCAGGTCGCCTCGTAAGAGATAGTTTGTCCCATCACCTTCACCAACGGTAGTTATTTGCTTACTATCTGTAATATCGGTATTAATGCAAGGAAGTACCAGCAGCTATTATTTTATAGCATAAATCATTGTACCTAACAATATGAACATCACACAATATCAAGGTGTTTAGTATCCACAGACGTCAAATGTTCCACTTGATATTTAGGCCTACTTGAGAGTAACGATCTGAATGCAACTCTTTCTGGATGCAACTCTTTCCATTCTTTTCCTTTTCTTATTCTCTCTCTCTCTCTCCCTCTCTCTTTCATTTATGTTGGCCAAACCGCTATTCCATTATGATTGTTTACATATCGAGTGGTCAGTGACACAAAGATGTAACGCCATATTGGCCATTTTGAGAAAAAAAAGTTGTTTATGTGTCACTGAGCACTTGGGCCTTAAGGAGTTAAGTCTATGTTTCACTAGCCGTTGACGTCAATGGGGTGTTGGGTGGAGCTAAATATTTGTGTTTCCTGGAAAGCCCACATTTTTCTGAACATTTTGATATCAAATACTCATTTTGGCAAAATATGGAGTTACGTCTTTGTGGTCACTGAACCCTCGATATGTTGTATATAATTGGTATGAAGATGTTATACTTACGACGAGGACGCCCGTTCAAGCTTTGTTTATGACGACCCCATGTTCTATGTATGATTTTATGTAGCCATGTTAAATAAAACTCATATGTTTGTGATGATGTATATAGACAACATATGAACATCAATCTATCATTCAATCTCTTCAAATACACTGTAATTCCTATCTCTCATAGTGACTTAGAGTCATAGTTGTTCATAAACTAAGCAGTTTATTCGTCTTTCTAAAGATGAATTAATCTCAGCAAAGGGGTTTTGCCTAAAGAAAGGAATCTGTCTTTCTTAGCGCACTTAAATTCATGTTTCGAAAGAGGTTCTTCAACGGTGATTAAAAATGTATTACTTTGATGTTCATTCAAGAGAAACCTCTCGAGAAACTTGAACCTCTTGAGAGATCACACGAATTAAACTCTCGTTTAAGGACAGGTCGCATAATAATTATCAGCCTTATTAATGTAGAATATTTATGAAGGTCACTGTTGTTTTCTGATTAGCCTTAGCCTTAGCCTCGATTTCCTCGAATCAAATACCCGCTTTTCCTACATAGGCCCATTTTATGGCCATTAATATCATATCATTTTTCATTAACCAGCTTGACCAGACAACAATGAATTGAAGTTGTGGGTCTTTCTCCTCGTTCTTCATGTCATGCTAGGAGGCGTACATAGAAATCTGTCAGTCAAATCCATTTCCTAGCTAGTGTATTTGGAGTTGGACTTATAGTAGATTGGATATAGAGTCAATAGCATTAGACTGATCATTCACTTTCTCGACTGGTTTTCCTCGCTACATAATTTTGTAGGTTTATGTATACATGCATATCAATGAAATGGAATGTAAATAAAGCGCGTTTTATTATTATCATTACTGCTATAGGCCTATAGAATGGTACGATCCAGACAAGTTTTTAATAACATGTAAATTAAAGGTAAAGACCAGTTATGGTCATGCGATTGCATTGTGAAAGAAACGTTGTGGAATCGATCAGAAAAGGTTGATCATCTAGCATCTAGCATCTGCAAGGTTCTGGAATCATCAAAATGATAAGAAATTTGGCCCATTCTTCGTAAAGTTACAAGCACTATACACAGAAAGATGTATATGGGACTACCCTATATCTCTCACAGACCATGAGAGAAACAAATTTACCAAATTATGAATAAGTAGGCGGTTTCCCGGCAAATTTGTTATCATCATGTATTAGTCAAAACATATTCTTTCACATGATTGGTAATGAGAGCTTCCATTTCATTTTTTGAAATTTGGGCGTTTCCAATACTGGTCTTTACCTTTAACGCCCAGGTGAATCTTTATACATTTTGTAAGATAACATACTTAGTTGTATCAACTGCGTATATATGTCAAAGAAATAGGTAGTGCGATAGCCTTAGTTCTCAAAAATAGCATGAAAATTAAGTTATTTACCGTAATATTAAAAAAATGTTGTCTGCATGTTATAAAATGCAGAAAGCGAAGTACGCTTATTTTTGATGTAGCATAATAATGTGAAAGAGCATTAGCATGATGACAGAAAGCGATCTGACCACATGTGTTTTTCCTTGAAATCAAATATCAAGGATAGTTGAGGGAAAGTTGAGTTATGTTGCAGAGGGCGCTACACAAAATATTTTTTTTGTGAGAAAAGGAAGAACTGATTCTCAAAATAAATGACAAAAATCATCTTTGTTTTTGTTCCAAATCGGTTTAGAGACGGTTGAAATATCTATAATATAACCATTTATAATATTTGTGTTTCACCACAAATATTTGATAATTTGAACCAGCCGTTGAAAAAAAGAAATAGCGCCTTTTACGTTTTATTCCAGCCAATGCCGATGTTGGCTTTTTCGTGTTGGTTATAATACACACAACCAGCCGGCCCAAGTATTGTTATTATTTATCAATTCATTAATGAACGGTCACCATATTTGTTGAAAGTGGAGTTAAATTGGTATGATCGTATTGGTTAAATTTTACACATTTTGGGGCCTAACATTACCTTCATAAGGAATTTTAGGTCCTAAAAGGACACTAGAAATGTCATAATTAAGAATAAGAGCAATAACCATGCACTTGCGGTCTAAAACAAAAACTCAACTATCCCTTCAAAGGGAAATCCGACCTTGATAGCAAACTACTTTGGATGATAGCAGAAAAATCGTACAAGTAGACTAGTGACAGTTTGAAATGAAATCGAAAAAAAAAAAGTTACGAATTCTTGAATGTTGTAATCAATATAGGTATGGGCTCTTCAAATTGACTGAATCAGTAATGTCTCTGTGATTTAGTGGCGGACAACTTTCCTCACTGGAAATAAGCTCATGAGCTTTCGTGCGTTATCCTGTTCAAGCTGACTTAATTATGAGCTGTTATTCGTGTATATTGTATGTTGGAAGCTTGGCGAATACAAATCAATCAAACAATCATTGTTTCAACAAACAAAATGACTAAAATGTCCAAGAGAGTCTATAGAGGACCTCTGAAATATGATATCCATTATTATATTTGAGTATTGCCCCAAGGGAAAAGGCATTTAGGAGATACATAATTAATCATAATTTGGTACGCGACGAATGGGAGAGTTATTCGCGACTACGTCACAATTCACTGACCAATTTTTTTATTTTCTCGTTTATCAAATTTATTCCGGTTTACTTCAATACAGTTTAAAAAAAACCCTCATTTGTGTTTACCTGTATAGTGGTTAAAAAAAGTATTTAGAAATATGCATGAAAACAGCTAAATTACGTTATCTAAGGAAACTAAACAAGCCATATCCAAACGAAAATCAAGTATGTATGATTACTATTTCGTCATCAAAATAAATATTTTATTTGTATTCTATTTACGTTCTTCGCCAACAAAGTCTGAGTCTTTATTATTTTGGGGAGCGAACAAAATTTCATGTTAAACCTACATTTGACATATAAATACTTTGAATGAATAAATGAATAAATGAATAAATGAATCTTTGTATGATAAACAATGCGTCCGTATGAATCAATAATTGTTGCAATCTCCAAACATCTCCTCCTCATCCTTACTTCTCCCCCTTTTTTCTTCTTTTTTTCTTCTTCTTCTTCAAGTTCTTCTTCTTCGTCTTCTTCTTCTTCTTCGTCGTCTTCTCCTTATTCTCCTCCCTATATATATATATATATATATATATATATATATATATATATATATATATATATATATCGTCAAAGGGCTATACAGCCTATCACGAAAATGAAATCAAGATTACAAGTGGTGTTAGCATAGGTTCAATACAATTTATTGAGCATCGAAAAATAAACGAAAATCACACTTAAGATAATTAATTTGTTCCATATTACGGTTTGTGAGGGGCGAGTACTGGACCAGAAGCTTGATAAACATGTAGTCCAGCTTCTGTCCGTGTTTTTATTTTAATTATTTTACCAAACACATCGATCCCACGCGGTGCCTCCACTCATCACGTGATCCCCCAATCGGGGTTACAGATAGGGACTTTTAGATGTGCACGCCGACATACTGGACTGGACGCACATTGCCTTACAAGAAAGTCACACGCAGCAGTCCACTATGTCGACGTGCATATCTAAAAGTCCCTAATGAGAAGAATGACAAGGTCTACTGTAAACGTTGTACTATCAGCTGATTGGGCGCGCAACACTGAAACGGTTCAGAGGCTGGACTGGTGAACACCTTGCGCAACACCGATGGTTCGAACATCGTAGTAGGTCCGTGGTTCGAATCATAGCTCGGAGCTAGCATGGCTATTGACCTTTGGCAAAACATACATTCACATTTGAAACTCTCCACGGCAGGTTCCTCAGAAAGAACAGCATTGATGCTGATGAGGCTTCCCAGGTTAAACAATTATAATTATTGTTATCAATATCATCATTAATATTATGATTATTATTTATAGCATTGTTGATATCGTTATTGTCATCATTGTCATTTTTGTTATCTTCATTATTATTATTATTATTATTATTATTATTATTATTATTATTATAATTATCATCATCATCATCATCATCATCATCATTATCATCATTATTATTATTATTATTATTAAAGCGATGAAGGGCCAGGCAGAAAGAGGGTTTTGAAACAGGATGACGATGGTTCTTTTCGTACTCTATCCCAATAAACCTTTTAAAAGAATGATTTCATCAAAGATACTAACAAGTGCAGTAAAAGCAGGAGGAAGATCATGAACAAGTAGAATACGGCCGATGGGATTTCTAAGATGTTTGTTCA